TAAATTTACTGTTATTAAATGATGCTTTAGATTATGTTAGAAATAATTTCGGCTACAACTGTTTACATAGGCACCTAAAACAAAATGGCATAGGAAAGTTGAAAGTTAGAAAAAGTGAACCACAAACAAAAAGAGTGTTACCCAAAAACGCTGGCAGAGCCACGTCAGAATCAGAAAAAGGATTCACGACAAAGCATTAAAAGGGACAGAACAATTCATGGAGAAGATACCGTCATGAGGTACCTAGTATTGAACTTTACACGCATCTCAGACTCGCTGGTCAAGACCAAAACAGTTAAAGCTAAAAGGGTTGGAACAGAATGATTTTTCAAAGCTTAACCAAATATATATATACTAAAAACATTTTGTTTACTCTCCACACACATTCTTTTTAAACAAATAGAACATGTACAAAAACTGATTTTGTGCCAGGTGACAAAGACTCAGCAAATTCCTTCACTGTCCTTCCCCACCAAAATTCAAAATGTAAAGTTAAAATTTTTAGAACTGTGATGATAAATGTAGTATCTAGCAGACCTAAGGAGTTGTAAACTAATTGGCTTTCAAGAGAAATTGACATGCAAGTGTCATAAATACAAAGAACAGCAGCATGAAGGACAGGTAATGTTCACTGTATGAGAAGTACTAAGTTACTTTTAACTTAGAAAAAAAGCAAAATAAATCCACACAGTGTAAGAATAAAGGAAATAAAATGTATAAGAAACCTAAAAAGAAATAGTCCAAAAGGTAAAATTTGGTTCCTTGAAAAGAATTTAAAAATAAGATTTGGCACATGTGGCTTTTTAGTGAGCAAAAGCAACATCAGAAAGAGCTATTATTGTTTTGAAGGTTTTTTACATTGTATGAGAATTCCAAATTGACCCAAGAAGTAAAGAATCCCCAAAAAAAGACCAATCACCATAAAAGTTGAAATAGTATTCAAAGATTCTGTGCCCCAAAAGTAGACACTAGCCCAAGCTGTTTTGTGGAGAGTTTTATCTCCTCTTCTAGAAACATAATTCCTGTTACAGAAAGCGTACCAGTCATAGAAGATGATGAAAAACCTCCTATTGTAATGTGTAAAGCCAGCACAGGCCTGATCTAAGATGACTAGACCAGCACCAAGACAAAAATATAGTTCAGTGTCACAAATACAGATGTAAATCAAACAGCCATTCACTCTCACAATACAGTGATAATCCAGCACTGGAAAAAACCGCCAACATAATTCACTACTTGGTCATGTAAAGTAAAGGTTTTTAAAAATCCACCCGTGTAATCCTCTCAATGTATGCCCCAAAAGCCTTCAGTAAAATGTGGTACCCATTTATGATGTATACGTAAGTACAATTATGAATAGAGAGAATTTTCTTAAATGATAAAGGTTGATCCTACTTAACAGTGAAATATGAAAAGCATTTCCATCAAGGTCAGAAATGAGAGGTGGATGCCTATTAACCACTACCTTTCAGCATTGTACCGGAGGTTTTCATTAATGCAGTAAGATAGAAAACCACCCAAATCAATAGATAATGGGTAAATGTGCCTATCTTGTGATGAACTACACTAGCAACAGGTAAAAGAAATTACAGAGCTCAAAAAACATTTCTAAACAAAATTGCAAAAGACATTCAATAAATACTTTTTGTGCTATTATGTAAACTTACAGTAATATTTCTCTAAGCATTCTATATGTATATGGCCAATTTTATTGGTGGTCTCTTAATTTATCAAAAAGAAATTAGTATTTGCGTATTTAAATTAAGCATCTATTTTAAGAGCTAGGTAGCTATAAAGATTGTGGGAATTACATGTAATAATTATAATGATAGCTGCTCATAGCTGGAGAAATATGCTAGGACTTTGACAATAAAAAGTAAAATGCACACCTGATGTGGAATTCGAGTTCTCTGCTCTGCAGACAGAAGGCTGGCAGGGAGGACAGGCTCAGGTGACAAGCATGGAGCCCCGGCTTTCCTGCGTCCACTCGCACCTGCCCTGCTGGCTGCTCAGCTTAACTGTCCCATCTCTTGGCAGGAGCAGATCAGGCCTCTATAACGGCCAGGAATCACATTCAGCTGGTGAAGTCGCAGGTGCAGGAAGTGCGCCAGCTCTCCCAGAAAGCAGAAACCAAGTTGGCAGAAGCACAGACAGAAGAACTCCGTCAGAAAACACAGGAGGCGGATGACAGGGCTGAGCCGGAACAGGAGGCCTACCTGCGTGAGGATTGAGGGCCTGAGCCGCTGCCCACGTCTGCCCGCTCAGCCTGGGGTCGGCACGGCTTTCTCTGCACGGAGAGGAGGCGCAGGTCCTGCCCTGGCCCATCAGGCCAGAGGCATTTTGTGAGCTGTGAGTGCCTGACCCCTGAACCCTGGTCTCAGGCTTGTACTGGACCTGGTTCTTAGTCCGGGGCACTGCACCCCACTCAGCACAGCTGCCCTCTCACCCACCCACCGATTGTTTTACTTCCTGCCCAGAGCATCTCACCAACCTGGCCAGAGTCCTTTTCTGTCATGCCCACAGTTCAGTAGCTGTTTTAACCTCATTTTCAAACTTATTCAAATAGGAGTTAGTATTTGCTCCCTCCATAGGGATGTGAGTTTTGGGGGCGAGGGGAGCCTGTTCTCTTTGTAAGATTTCTTTTTAAGTGTTTCTAATGCCTTCTCTGACCTGGCCCCCTGGCCCTGCAAGGACAGCCCAGGCCAAGCAGCCAAAAGTCTATTCATTATTCTTAAGGGACTGAATGCAGCGTGTTTACCTGGTACTTTCAACAGGACTTACTCCAACACCTGCTTCCTGTGTCCTCCTTTCCTTCGAGTTTCTCTATTGTATCTGAAGGAGAATAATTTTTTTTGCATTTAAAAGTGAAAGTGTGTGTTTTCTGGGGTCCTCTGCAGCCTCTCACTTTCACCCTCCTCCCCGACTGGCAGAATGCCAAAGAGCTCCAGGACCCCCCGACCCTTCATCCCCCTCCCCCATTTGCTGTGGGAACCATTCAACATGTGTTGGTCCAGGTTAGCCAGGTTTCAGTGTTTTTAATCAAAGTTAGAAACGTTTGGGAGGGGGTTACAAAAACTAAGCATTTCCTGTAGACCATCATGGGTCAAGTTTCAAGTTTCTCAATTTCTATGATAGGAAAATACACTCAATCCACTCAGCCCACCCCTCAGAGCTGGGACAAGGGGCCAGCAGCGCACTTAAGCCCCTCATCTGTCACCAGTGCCCACATGGTCCACATCTCCAGGGGGCTGAGCCGGTGCACCAGGAGGAGCCCTCTGAACAGGCAGGGGTCCAGGGGGTCCAGGGGCTGCCGTATTCCAAATGTCTTGAAGCCAGCATGGTGCATGGGGCTCACCCCCAGCTTCCTCAGGCACATACCCACAAAGACGTCATCGATGGGGAAGAGTTCGGCCTCTTCCACGGCTGCTCGGAGGTGCTGCACAGTGGCTCTGGACATGACATACCCTCCACCCCCAGCATAGGGCGGGTAATGGCGGGCCCTGTACATGGAGGGTGGGATGAAGTACTTGACCTTGGTGTTCCTGTTGGGCAGAGCCTGGCGGATGACGTCTCCCACCAAGAGGTCCTGGGCTGGGTCCCAGCCATCCAGGAACTCCAGGACATTGGGCACATGGACAAAGACATCGTCATCTCCCTTTAGCATGAAGTGGGCCTGGGGACAGGCAGCCGCTACCCAGCGCTGCAGGTGCAGCTCCTTGAGAGTCAGGTTGAAGAAGTCCTCAGTGAAGTCCCACTGGAGGATATCGTCAAACTCCCGACTCTCATAGGCCAGCAGCTGGGCAGGGGGTGCGGGTCCTGCCACCCCTAGGAGGAACACCAGCTTCAGCTGCCGGCCCCTAGCCCAGTCTCCCACCCGGCCCCACGTGCTGCGGATGGCCGCACGCCGCTCCACATGGCCAGGCTGCGACTTGATGGCCAGGAGCAGAAAGACGTCCTCAGCACAGCCTGAAGGTTCTAGCAAAATGGAGAAATTGCGGCAGTGGCGATAGGTCAAGAAGAGACGGTGCCGGCTGGGCAGGGACAGGGAGGCGTTCGCCACAGTGTGGTTGGGTGGACAGTGGCTGCGGCGGGGCCCTGGGGGAGCCCAGAAGGGCTGGCGGGCGGTGGGGACCCCTGCTGGCTTGGCCTCCTTCTTCAGGAAGAGCAGGCAGCTGAGCAGCAGCACGGCAAGGCTGTACAGGACCAGCCAGCCCAGCCTGCGGAACATGGCAGGGCCTGCAAGGAAAGAGCCTGTGAGCGGGCCCAGCCCGTCCCAGGACCAGCCTCAGCCCCCACCTTCGCCTCCCTGGTCCCGAGAGCAAGTTACCCACACCCTGCGGGCCTCTGCGAGTGCTTTTATTTATTTTTTTAAGCGTGTCTTCTGGCTCTTTCCAGGGTCCCTCTCCCAGAGGACAGACTGAGCTCACCTGCTATGCCAGCCCTTGCCTGCCTTCTGTCAGCAGAGGGCTCTTAGGCCAACTTTCCCCAAAATGACTTTCAGCCACTTTAGAACGGGCGCCATGAGCATTTTCAGCATTTCCCAGGAAACTCAAGTACCTTGCATGCTTTAGTGGAACTGGCACAGAGCTAGTTTAGCTTCGGGTTAAATTCATTCTAAGGACTGAACATGACAATCTGGGCTCTTACGTCTAAATCAAAACATTTCCAAGGTCTGGAGTCTGCTCTGTAGGTGGCAGGCCCTGTGCTGGGGGTCTCAGCCCCAGCAGAGCAGCCGATGGAGCCACCACTGAGCACCCCCTTCCATCTGCTGAGGTGGCCTGGGTTCTTGGGTTAGTCCAATGGGGTTTTAGGGACAAAACCCACGCCCAGGAGAACATGGGAGCACGTGGGAAGCTGGAGACGGGTGCCAGGGGTGGCTCAGGTGCCCAGCAATGCAAAAAGGAGGCCAAGGAACGCTAACCAACAGGCACGTGCCCAGGTCCAGAGTAGCAGAGCCAGGCCTCAAAGCCTCCTCTTCGCCACTCTTGCCACGCTGTCCTGGTCCGACAGGCCTCCCCGTCTACCCACGTTGGCCTCAGCCTATTGTCCCTGCCGCTGCACCCCCACAGAAGCTGCCATCTCTTCCAGCTGCCAGGGTGCGATGGCAGGCAAGACAGGCAGGGTCCGAGCCCTCACAGAGACCCTGAAAACCAGAATGAACTTCAGACAGCGCCGGGACATGACAGCAGGGTCAGGAGGCCAGGGCCGGGAAGGCTGTTGAATGCCGCAGTTTAGAAAGCCACCTTGATAAAGGACACGGGCAAGAACTGGGTGGATAAGGGACCAAACCACAGAGACATCTGGAGAGCGGGCACCAGGCAGAGTTACCTGCGGAGCCCCTGAAGCCGGAGAGCGGTGGCTGGATATGGAGCAGGAGGAGGGGGCAGAGGTGAGGGAGGGGGCTGAGGAGCCCCAGAGTAAGGGCTGCGGAGGGCTCGGGCGTTACTGTGGGCGCCTGGAGAGCCACTGGAGGGT